TTAAAAGTGATCTTGTATTTTAGGTCGACTTAAAGGTGATCTTGTATTTTAGATCGTGGTGGACAGAAACGGTCTAAAACAAACCGCGCAGCCCAGCCAGCCAGCCAACCACAACAGAGGCACAGGCCACACAGCAGAGCAGCTGCGAGCCGGCCTAGTAGGAGAAAGACCCCACACGCTCACGCACTGGCTAGGTAGCCGCTCGCGCTTCGCCGCTAGCTGCTACCGGTGCCGCGCCTCACTGCTTCGCTTCTCCTCCCTCCCTCGCCACCTCCTCCTCGTGTCGAGCCACCCCGCGGCCGGCCGATACCGACCCAGAGCTCGGACGCGCCGAGGCGAGGCCACCGCCGCAAGCATTCGCCTGTGTGTGCCGTGTTCAGCTAGCAGTGCGGGCCGCGATGTTCGCGAGCAGGCCGGTGGTGCACCCGCTGGAGGTGGCGGCGCCCGCGGATCCGGTGCAGCCGGCGCCGGGCGTGCTGATGAAGGACCTGCCCGGGATGCCGGGGACGCCCGGCGGCCTCGGCCTCCGCGTCCTGCAGCTCCTCTTCGCAGCCATCTCGCTCGCCGCCATGTCCTCCACCGTCGACTTCGCCAGCGTCTCCGCCTTCAGGTACGCCAGCTCTCATCTTCATTCCCCGTCTCTCTTCCGTTCGACTTAGCTTCCTTCTCCAGTCGCCTGCCTAGGATTTCGGAATTGCATTGTGGTTTGGTGGTGTAGACAAGCAGTAGAATGGTTCGATCTGTGATGCTCAGCTCAGCTTAGCTAGCTAGGCTTAGCGGGGGTATTCACACTCCAAGTTTCAGCTGGTTGGGTAGGTTGAGCCGTGAGCGGGGAACTTGCTGTTAAAGCTCCCAAGACTTCATGTCTTGGATTTTTGCTTGATTCGGCAATGGGGTGTGAAACCGAACTCCTTTTCTTGCACGACGCGTGGGCAGTTCTAACTGTGTCAATCCCCTGAGCCACCAAAACGCATCTTTCTCCGGATTTCTTTCACATCTGCAAGTATTTTCACTAGAGTCTGGTTTGTCTCAGTGAATTTGGGTCAAGTCTCTGAATGCTAGTACCAACGTTTGCAAATCCTTTTGTTGCACCTAATTTCGTGTCATCTTTGCTTGGGTCCTGTGGTTGCTACTCCTCGCATGATAATGTTTTGAGCTATGCAACGCCTGCCTGATGGCATGTCTGGATTCCCTCCGCCCGGGCAAGGATGTGAGGCGTCTGATTTTGGGCGCCTGGGATCAAGATCCTTGTCTGGCAGGCATTGATGTAAACATCCCTATATGACCCTCTGTTTTTTTTCTCTCGAGAAACCGTGCTTAAGCGGGCACATATCCAAGAAAATAAGAGTAAAAAAGGCAAGCCTTATGTGGACTAAAGACAGTTTACTTGGAGTGTCCTCTGGAAAAAGTTGCACGCTAGCAACATCCATTTCAACTGTCGAAATTTTCTGTAGCCGCTGCCCACTGGGCTCCAGCCTTCAGGGCTAAAATGGATATTGTTTTGGTGAATAAACTTCTGGAGTTGAATTTATATTGGTACATAAGGAATGTGGAGAAGCGGATCTATAGTTCTGTTCAATACTATTTTAGTGCAAAAATATCATGCTGTGTATTTTTTCCTAAACATACGGAAAGGGTTTAATTCACTAACAATTTTGTGATTTTGTCAGTATCCAGATCTATACCCTAGAATCTTTTGATAGTATGATCCTATCAAGTCAAAACAATACATATTCTACCACGTAAATTTTATAGTATCTCGATCCTACATGAAGGTATCTAACATAAAATTTCATAGTATCCCAATACTACGATCCTATGTAATAATTGACATAAATCACTTGACTAGTTATGACAAAATACTATTTAAAGTTAAGGACCATTGAAAATAATGTCAAGAGTTTCAATTAAATATACAATAAGTCTATTAAATTAATCAAAATCATTATTATAGAATTAAATCTTTACAACATATTACAAATCTTATTAAAATATATAATTTGTAAAATTTGATAGGATCCCAATACTATGATCCGATCCGATAGTGTCAAGCAAAAAACGATGCTATGTAGGATCCCGATCCTAAGAACCCTGTTCACTAAGTAACACCCATCCATTCTCTCAAGTCTCAAACATTTTTCTAATCTGGTACCTGCTTAGGCTTGAGATGTGACAAGCCTGTTTTGGGTCTAGATTGACACTGTTACAAATTGACTGTAACTGCTGAGTTGAATTACGATGAGCTGGGGCTGGACAGGAAAAAGGGGCTGTATTAATAAGTAGCCTTGACATTACACATTCGTTATCTTAAAAACATGGTATGAAACATTCTCCACTGTACATTTTTGGGTAAATGTTAAGGATGGCATTATTACCATGGTATCACAGGGATCCAATCATATCTGTTCTTTTTAGCGAGCAGCACCACTATGTTTGTATAAGTCCCAAGCTAGACAACCAAATTTATGCTACTCTTACTCATCTTAGCCACCATTTGGTTGGATGCTAAAATTTGGCCTGGCGGCCTACTCCTTTGGCCACCTTACTTCATTTTGGTGGCCAAAGTTGGCAAAATACAAGGCCACCAATTTGGTGGCCAACATTTGGCTTGGTTGGTGCAAACTAAACACACCATAAACCCGCAGCCCCTTCTTTCTTTTTTGCCAGGATAAATAGCCGTTTTTCATATGATAAGCATGGATTATCATGGCACTCCATTACCTCACAAAATGTTTCCTGGTACAAATGTGGTATTTCATTATAAAACTATGCTCAATGGATGCCCAACGTTTCGGGTGGATTATGTAGTTAATTTCTGAAGAATTATCATAAAAAGTTATCTTTCTAATCACTGCTCCAATATGGAACATTTATAGTTAGTACAAGTAAGTACAGCGTGGCTCCTGAATCCTAAGAGGAAGGCAATTTTTTGTTTGTCCGGAAACGAATACCATCCTATCTTAGTTTAGCTAATATTTCTTCTTGGGCATGTAGGTATCTCCTGTTCACTAATCACTACCTATTTGCTGATTATGGGCTGTAAACAACTAGAAATTGATTTTTTTGCATGATGCAATTTTGTTATGTATTAATTTATTTTTTATTTTATTTTAATGTGATTGTGATTGTAATAGATGTGGTTGAAACTTTTGCTAACTCAGAAAACAGGGACAGTGTTGATCTCTTGGGTCAAAATGACAATTTTACTGTGTTATCCTTTTTTGTGGTCGTCGCAGCAAATTCATGTCTTCCGTATGCTGCATTCTGGCATCCTCAACTTCAAGCCTTTCCAACCTCATTAATTTGGTTTAGTTTTGTGTATAACAAACTGATGATTTGCTCCTTTTGCCAGCTACCTCATTGCAACAACCATCTTGCAATGTGTGTGGAGCCTTACGGTAGCCATTGTGGACATATATGCACTGCTTGTTAAGCGTTGTTTACGAAATCATCGGGCTGTTGCTCTTTTTGCCATTGGAGATGGGGTACGTAAAACATTGTACTTGTTCTTCATGATGCTTATAAAAATCATTAAGTCAATCTTCCATAATATTTGTAACATTTACAGATAAGTTCTGTTGAACAATTTCTCAACTTTCCTCTGTCGTGAATTAACACAACATACAAAAAGTACCATATAACTGGGATTAATCTGACACACTTTTGACAATATAGTGACTTTCTGATGTGGAATATTAATTGTGTAGCGCAAAGAAACCCAAATAAGTTGTCAGATCATAAAGTCGAATGAAATTGCCTCTCATGAATCATAGATTTGCTTAGGGGAGCAAGGATCGCATTTATCTTCTGATTCAGTGTATTCTTGTTTGACGGCAGATCACATGGGCAGCGTCCTTCTCCGGAGCATGCATGGCGGCAGGAGTCACCGTCCTGATCGACACAGATCTGAACATGTGCTACGAGAACCATTGTGCTAATTTTCAGACTGCAGTAGCAATGGAGTTCATGTGCTGTTTTTCTCTCTTACCATCCCTTCTCCTGAACCTTTATTCGATCGCATCTAGTCGTGGCTAGCTGAAAAGAAACAGGAGGATATAGCCTGATCTTGGAGCAGTGTGAGCATCCAATTGCGGTTTTAGCGATAACTGGATATAGTGGCACAGCTAATAATATTAGAATTGGAAGGTAAGTCTATGACAGTATGCGACTATGACCCAGCATTTCTAGTTTATAACCTGTAAAAAGGAAATAGGGAACGGCCTGTTTTGCAGATGCATTGCTCTGAAACCTTGCAGTTATATGCGGTACTACTATTTACGTGCCCTGTAAAATGCTTGGAACTGTTGGGAGTTTTAACGTGTCCTGACTCCTGAACCTTGTATATTGCAAGTGAAGAGGAGGGGTAATGGTGATGCTGAAGAATGCGTATCTGTTCATTCTTCATTGGCAGGACTCACGGCTGGCAGAATTTTAACTGAAACTGGCTCAAAAACACTGTTCTGGCTGAATTGTTGTGAGAGAAAAATACTGTTCCGGCTGAAAAAAGAAGCCGAACAAGCCGAATATGGGGTAAGCCGAACGGGCCATGCAGTTGGCCTGATCATTGTGAAGAAATATCTAAATTCTCGATTGTTTCATCTCGTGATCGCTCATCACACAGACACAGCACATACTCGCTCTCCACAGCTCCTGTTAGAGACTCAGTGTGAAGCCTTGTGCAGTTTTACCACAGTGACATCATACTTACAGAGCTACCAGCTTTGTTTTGCACTGAAGTTTAGTCCAAAATTTACACAAAAAGTTCCCTTGCTTGTACTAGGATTTAGGTACAATGCAGCTTTACAACCCACTACAGCCATGCTCACTAGCATAGCATAACGCTTATTTATGTCCAAGTGAGATTGCTACCTATATTTACTCACAACTCAAGCCATTCAATCCGCGACCGCGAGTCATTTTTATGTTCATCAAGTGAAATAGACGTCAAGAAGATTCAAGACGAAAGAAGCCTGCCACATGAGCATGGGCAACTTCACCAATCACCATTCGATGGAGCGCCTCCGTCTCCGATCCTTGGGCGGCTCCGTGCCCACGGCATCAAGCCGCAGGAATGGGTTCAGCCGCCCGAGCTTCTTGGACACGTTGTTCATGAACCCCCCGCTGCCGCCCGCGGCCTTCTTCGGCGGCGGGCGGCGCCCCGACGGTGGAGCGCCACTGGGCTGCGGGAGCGCCGCGGGCGGGTCCCTCAGGTGCATCTTCAGCCGCAGCAGCTCCATCTTGAGCTCCTCGTTCTCCCGCTGCAGCCGCGACACGTCGTCCGGTACGCTCCGGGCGTGCCGGCCCAGGAGGCTCGGCGTCGGCGCCGGCCTGTATGGCGGCGACGGGGCCAGGGACTCGCCGCCGTAGAACGACGACACGCTGCTCGGTGGCGGCGCGTGCTTAGGGGCCTCGCGCAGGCGCCGCTGCTCGTGGTAGAGGACCTGCACCACCGTCTGCACTGGCAGCCGGTCGTTCTGCGCCGCGTGCGCGCACGCCTCGCGCGACAGCTTCTGGCAGTCCATCACCCGGCACACCTTCTTCCGCTCGGCCTCGCTCAGATGCGGATGCGCCTGCATGCAGGAATCCATAGTCCACAGTGAACGATCATTTAGTTGAGGAAAAACCCATAACCAATATGTCAGTAAAAAATAATGAAGATCTCCGTGTTTAATTTCTCACCTTCAAGTAGATGTCGATGGCACGGTACATGCCATCCTCGTTGAACCTGGATCGTTCCGGGATCATCTCGGCAAGGCCGGTGAATTTGTCAATGGGCAGGTCCACGTCCGAGGCAATCTCGGCCAGGTACGACTCCATGAGCCTACCGACCATTCCGATGTCGTTGGGCGGCGACGCCGTCGAGATGAAGTCGTCGTCGGTGTTGTAGTCCAGCCGGGCCGCCTCGGTCTCGTGCTCCAGGTACCCGACCAGGACCCTCTGGACCGCGTCGACGTCAAACGTGGTGCCGGCCTCGGGCGAGGAGGACGGGATCAGGAGGTCGTCCAGCACGGCCTGCCCGAGCTGCGCGGCCATCCGCTTCTCGAGGTCGAGTCGGCACGCCAGGGTCGTGTCCAGGCACAGCGCTGCCCGAAGCAGCATCGAGAGGAAGCTCACGGACAGGGAGTTCTTCTCCTTCGGCAGCAGACTCACGATGGTTTCAAGTACCACACGCTTGTCGTGTTCCTGCCTCGGGTCCATCTTTTCCTTCTCCCTTCCGTGTGTGTCCTGCAACACAAGCTCAGCAATTTGTCAGGTGCAGGTAAGAACTATGCACACATACTGTGGTGATCATGTACCAAATCAGATCTTCCTGCACTTGTAGATTGATACATTGCACAGTTGAGCTCACCAGTCTTCGCAGCGACTTCTGAGCATAGAGCTTGATGAGCGTGCCCAGAGCAATGCCCTTGAACCCCCTGGCCTTCATGGCAATGAGGACTCTCTGGAACGTGTCAATCCGCAGCGACGTCAGCTCGTCAGCCAACCAGTCATCGACGGCCTTGGACGACGACATGGCCATGCCGTTGCCGTTCGTGGTGTTGCCCATGGACATGTTGAACTGGCTGTCGTTGCAGGTGATGTACGCGATGGCGTCGACGCACCTGCCGACGAGGTCCACCTCCTCGGACACCGGGAGGAGGTCCTCCGACCTCCGGAGCACGGTGACCGCGCCCGCGAGGCTCGTCAGCGCCACGGCCTCCAGGTAGGCCTCCGTCCTGGCGGCCAGGTTCCCGCTCATGCTGTCGTCGGTCATCTCCAAGTGCTCGGCGGCGCACCGCAGCATGGCCACGTTGTCCTCCGTGATCTCGAAGTTCTCGCCGTAGCAGAACTTGGTGACGAGCTCGAACGCCGCGGCGCCGCCCGGCATGCCTGTAAGGTCGATGTGGGTGACCCTGGAGCCATTGATCCCCGACACCTGCTTCCTTATGTAGCCGCATCTCGATGCCAACGGGAGCTGCAGCAGCGTTCGCACCGCCCGCTAGTCAGAACCCAAGCTTTCTATACGGTCGATGATCCCAAGAACACGCATGGAAAACTATGATATGGAAGCGCTGTGATTCATATGTACTAGTAGGAGTATTATTTACCTTGTGTAAGTTGAAGGTCGCTTCCCCAACCTGGATGGTAATATCGCTTGGGAATTCTTGTGACATTATCCTGCAACAATCAAGCCAAACAAGAGCCTCAAACTCGGCAAAACTTTCCTTTTGATAAACTCCATTTGCAGGGTTTGGCTACGCATTAAAGCGAACGATTCATTGAGTACGATGTGAGATCTGAAAGCACAGTCACGTGTTGCTAGCTTGATGGCAATTGCTGTTTGTTTTCAGTCCAAAATCGATCTGAACAAGCTGTCAGCGATGGTTACGGAGTGTTGATACCAACAATCGAACACGAACTCGTCGAATCAAATGCGAAACAGCAACAACAGCATGCCAATGGAAAGTAAAACAAGGAGAAGCAGCAGGGGAGGAGGAGAAGGAACGTATACCAGTCACTGATTCTCCTCATCGCCGGCGTGTCGAGCCGGCTCTCCTCCATCTGGCGGCCTGGCCCTCCCAAAAAGTCACCGAGCTTCTGTTCACCTCTCCTGCTCCACCCCTTCCCTCTGTGTCATACTGTCATCCCAGGCGACGTCGACGTCAGAGGAGATCGCGGCAGTGCGGAAGAGCGAGTGACGCAGGTGCGCCGGTTTCTGGATCGCGCTCACGCCGCGGCTGCCTTCCACACTGGCCTCGGCGGCCGGAAGTCACACAATGGCACCGTAGCGCAGCAGCCGTGGATAATGGATAAAAAGAAGCCGAATAGAGGAGCCCGACCCGACCAGTCCGGGCGATTGTTCCTTTGGCGCGTAGCTGAAACCTCCGTCGCCTTCTGCCGTCGCTTTCCGGCGACTTGTCTTGCGCTGCATGGGGCCAGCGAGCCGTGCGTCACTTCGCTTCGTACTGCTGTATGCATGCCTGGCACCGATTTTTTTTTTTTAGCCTTTTTTAAAAAAAATCACAAATATACGTAAGATTTCAAAATCTGGACTCTTAGCTTGCCGTTATAGTTGCTGGCGCCGAGTTTACATTGTTCGGCGCCATCGTTGCTGGCGCCGAGGTCTTAGGCTCGAAGCAGACGTGGCGGTGATTTGGCAGGCAGCTCGGCGCCATAGATCCTGGCGCCGTAGAACCTGGCGTCGAGCTCGACGCCATGATCTATGGCGCCGAGGTGGTGTTTTAACTTTGGCCCCAACCTTCCTGCCCGAGCCTTCTTCCTCTTCTTTCTCTCCCCTCTCGGGTTTTCTCTCTCCCCACTTCGCCCTACCTCACAAATCGGCATATTGGACCTTGAAAACTTTGATTTGATCCGTAGATCTTCGAGAGCAAGGTATCATTTCTCTCCTCCTAGTTTTTTTCGCATCGATTCGGTATATATTAGTCGGATTTTTCAACCTAAGAATCATCATTACTTAGGGTTTCATTCTATCACTCAATATTTGTATTATACAACCGTATGATGATGCCAAGGCGTGAAAAAGCTAGCAACCTTAGGTAACCGCAGCGCATGTAGTTATGTTATGGGTTTATTGTTGTGCATCAAATGAGAAACCCTAGGTTTAGGGTTTAATGTTAATTGCTTTCGGTTCTTAGAACAAAATTTGTTGTATTGTAGTTATGATTCTCATTGACATTAATTTATGATGTTTTGATTCTTGTTTGTTAAATTACATCCGTTTTGTTAGACGCAAGAAATGTATCGGGAGGAGTTTTGGCAAAAACAGGGTCATTCTCGAGAATTATACCCCGATGCGTCTAGCGAAGATGCCCCCATCCCTCCTGACCTCTCTGTCCCTAACTGTGATTGTGGTTTCCCGGCCCACGTGTTTCAATCGAGACATCCAGACACAGCGACGCGTTGTTTCTACACATACAGTTATTTTAATGTAAGTAATTGTTTCCACTATGTTTTTTTCTTTATTTGTGTAAGTATGCTACTAATATTTTATTGGAATCTTGTTGTATAGGACAATGAGAGATGCTTTTTTTAGTGGATCGACGGTGCATACAAGTTTGACCCTAGGTACCTCATTTTCGACGATTGGTTTAGAGGGAGACATCCCTGTAAAGAACGCCGATGCCGCCAAGTTCCCCGATCACACACGGACCTAGAGCCTCGTAGCCATGGACACTTGCCCTCACCTTGCCAGCCGAAGACCAAGATAGAGCCTTTTATGGCCGCTCGCCGCACGGGCACGCGTGCACTCACACGCAAGCACCGCAGTGGCTTGGCATGTGCCTTGCCGCCACTACAATCGACCACTTTGCTATTCATTACTTTCGCACACACCATCCCAAGAGCTCCAAATTGCTTCATACATCATTCGTGGACGCATGCCACGAGCCGTGGACTCATGCACGCTCACTTGCATGTGGTGACGCACGGCTGTGCCTCCGCATGACGTCGCGTGAGCCTCGGGACCACACCATCACGGCCGTTCGCATGCCCATGCGCAGTCCTACGCTGAGCCGCGTGTGCGAGCCAATGCCATAGCCACTGGAGCTAAGTCCATGAACAACAGCCGCGTCTGGCCAACTATAGCAAGATGCAACCACCATGGCCCGGTCAGAGGCGGCCCCAACCCGACTAAAAAACGCGACCATAGCCGACCTTGGCCAACCATAGCCACTTGTAGCCAGCCGCAGCCAGCCACAGCGAGCCATAGTGTCGGTGTTTCGGACCGGGGGGGTCCTCAACCAACCAGTAAATGTGAACTGCGTGCCCCTAATCCCGGATGATGATGCAAAGAGACACAAGGTTTATACTGGTTCAGGCAATCGGTGCCCTATGTCCAGTCTAGGAGATCGATCTTGTATTCTTTGCAAAAGTGTTTGTAGTAGGGGTTACAAAATTGGGTGAGAGAGGAGCTAGTCCCGTCTCGGCGTGGAGTGGTGCGGGCTTTGCTTGAGTCGTTGCTCTCGGCGTGGGGGCGCATGTGAATTGAGTGAGTGCGTTTTGCGCGTGAGGGCCGGCGTGGTCCCGATCCATAGAAACGCCCTGGCCGCTTCCTTTTATAGCCACAAGGAGGGAGCCAGAGTACATGAGAGAGCTACACGTGGAGCCTTAGCGAGGAAGGAAGATCCATCTTCGTGGCCTATTCCTCAGGCGGACAAATGTCGGGAATGGCAATTGGTACTTGATCACTGGTGCGTTATGCCGGCCATGCCTGAGGCTGTTGAAGTCGTAGGGGTCCTCGTTGACGTTTAGTCAACGTGGCCTCCTCTCATGGTGACATGCCGTGCCTTGTGAATTTTTGACTTGGTGGTTCGCCGAGGCCTGGCAGGTGTTTGTGGCCAACCGCGCCGAGGCCTGATTTGCCGAGGCCTGGGAGGTGACCTGAGTACGATGCAATGTCTCGGTGGTCGTCGTCGCATCTTGTTTAGGTGGAAAAGTGCAGGCGTGTGTCCACAAAGCACGGTAGTCCCTGCACCATCAGTGGGGAATGGTAAAAAAGGAGATTTGACCGCCGTCCCATCGCCCCTGTTGCTATGCCCTGCCAATCGTGGCGACGAGGCGTAAACAACCGTGAAGTACTTACACGGATGGGACGGCCCGCCAGAGGGGCAGTTGAGGCAGAGACGACAAGGACACGGGACGAGCCCGGCCTCGGCCGAGGCGGAGAAGGAATAGTACGTCTGAGACCCTGCCGGGGGGTCTCGGACGAGGCGTAGAACGAGCAGTTGGGCTCTCCTATGGTTTCCGAGACTACAGGGACATGGACTTGACCTTCCATGCTGCTTTGTCATTGGCACAGGGGTTAGTGAAAGTGCATCTAGCCCTTTAGTGGGTTTTGGTTGATTGAATGACAACGTGATTAAAGGACTAACCCGTTTGCTAAGTGTGAACAGGTAATAGATTATCTCACAGGTACTTAATGAAAGCCAAAATGATGTGTTGTTGTATAAACAATCTAGTTCAAGCACAAGACAACAATGCAAATGGAATTCATGTGAAGGCTTATTTCTTTGTGGGATTTCCATTGACTATGTGAAAGCAAGCTCATGATTATTAGTTAATGAGACATGAGGGATTGCATATGGAATGGTCTCATATTTGAAGCTTGCTAAATTAAAATGAAAAAGATAACAATACATATGAATGGATGATTCAACACAAGATGTGACTTGATGGCTTGAGATGGTGAAGATAGCAAGGAAAGGCTTCGAGGTACTAAGCAAGGGTGAAGGGCAAGCGACGGCTTGGCGGCGTCAAGAACCTAGCTAGGGTGAAGAAGAAAGTACTTGCATTTAGTTGAGGTACTAGTCAAGCTAAGATGGTCATATTGATGTGAAGGATCAAATCTATAATGAAGTATTTGATGGAAGTGACTTGATACATTTGGGATTATTCAAACTTGATGAATGGAATCAAGTCACATGCTCAAGATGGCTATGCTCAAGTGAAAGATCAACATCAACATGTTAGCACCCTTACTTGATGAAGATTGGAAGGGACGGCATCAATTCAAAAGAACAACTCAAGTGGTACAAATTCATATTTCCGTTTGTCTTGAGTTTAATAGGTATGCTTGCGTACTATTAAGAGGGATGCATCATGTTGATAGATAATGTTTCATAAGTGCTCAAGCCAACCCATGTGAGTTTTGAGTATTTGAGAGACAAAAGAGCTAATCGATTTGTTGTTTGATCCATGTCAATACCGGACGTGTCCGGTATTCATACCGGACGTGTCCCAGTATTTGTCCAAGCAGGTGTAAAATTGTTGTTCTCGGGTTGGTTAGTCGGGAGTTCCGGCGTGGTCGGGAGTTCCGACGGTCGTGAGTCCCGGCATGGGTCGGGAGTTTCGACGTGTCGCACTTCAACCGACTTGGAGGGTTCATCGTCTCGGTCATACCGGGACGTGTCGGATAATACCTGGACGTGTCCGGTATGGATGACCGTGGCCAACGGCTAGTTTTCAAAAGCCGTGAGGGTCGGGAGTTCCAACGGTCGGGAGTTCCGACATATGTCGGGAGTTCCGACACCTCACTAACTTTAACTCAGTTACATGTTTTTCAAAATTACTGAGGGTCAGGGGTTCCGACTTGAGTCAGGAGTTCCGACGGTCGGAAGTCCCGGCATTCTTCGGGAGTTCCGATGCCTCACAACATCATCAGAACTTAGTTACCGTTGGCGCGAGCTTTGAGTCATACCGGACGTGTGTCAGTATGCATACCGGACGTGTCCGGTATTGCAACGCTATAAAAGCGGCTAGTTTTTCAAGGGGCTATAATACCCCAAGCCTCCACCTTTGGAGGTCGCTGATTCTACTGACTTAGACACACGTTTTTGAGCCTTGCCAACCCTCTCTTAGTGAGTGTGTGATCCAAATTACAAAATCAATTTGTGGGTTAAGAGAGAATTTGAAAAAGAGAGCAAGCCACCACTTGAGCACTTGTGCATATTGTCAATCTCGTGATTCGCATTTGTTACTCTTGGACTCTTGGTCCTAGACGGCTAGGCGTCACGGAGAGCAAACCTAGAGATTGTGGTTGCTTC